ATGTCCACATGGTAAGCTGCTGTAAGTAAGAGTTAACTGAGGCATCAGTCATTTTGGCAACAATATTCTATAAACCCCCACGGCCTATTCTTTCATTCATTCTATGTGGCTCTTCTTTTTAATGTTTTTTTGTCACTAAAGGATAGAACCCTGTGTGTTTGTGTGTGTGTGTGTGTGTGTGTGTGTGTGTGTGTAGCCAGTAAGTAAGTTTACTTTTGCCCTGACAACTGTCCACCCTCTGATGGAATAAGGAACCTCGCACATTTTTCTGGCCACAAGTAATTTCCATTCAGCCAAATCACTATGATCACTGTGTCCCAACTGCTTGCACATAAAGTTGTGTCCAGTACTTTACGTGTTTGTGTTCCCTTTTGTAACCCTTTAGTTTCGGTTGCACACACCTATTGTACTACACAAAAACACAGCTAGTGTTTCCTCTTAGAGGCTGTAGATCCAAAGCCATGCTTGGACTGGTGAACGTCCGCTCTCTGGCTAACAAGATGGATGAACTGCTGCTCCTCAACAAAGCAAACACGGACTTTAGCAGATCTGCCGCCCTGTGCTTCACTGAAACCTGGCTCGGTGAGCACATCCCGGACAGCGCACTACATCTGCCGAGCTTCCGACTCCTCCGAGCAGACCGCGTAACGGCGCTGTCGGGGAAAACGAGGGGAGGCGGAATCTGCTTCTACATCAATGAAGGTTGGTGTACGGATGTCACAGTGTTAAAGGAATCATGCAGCCCTCACCTAGAAACACTTTTCATAGACTGCAAACCTTTTTATTCACCGCGGGAGTTTTCCTCATTCATTCTGGTCGGTGTCTACATCCCACCACAGGCCTGTGTGAGTGAGGCTCTCCAACACCTGGCTGAGCAGATCACCAACATGGAGCATAAACACCCAGACTCCCTGCTCATTGTTCTTGGGGACTTCAACAGAGCAAACCTCAGCAAAGAACTGCCTAAATACAGACAGCATATTAAGTATAGCACCAGGGACAAAAACACACTGGACCACTGCTACACTGACATAAAGGATGCATACCGCTCACTCCCCCGTGCAGCTCTGGGACTCTCTGATCATTGTCTGGTTCATCTTCTCCCGACCTACAGGCAGAAACTAAAATCTGCAAAGCCTGTGGTGAAGACTGTGAAGAGATGGACCAACGAGGCAAAGCTGGAGCTACAGTCCTGCTTTGCTTGCACTGACTGGAGTGTTTTCGAGGCTGCTGCTACAGACCTGGATGGGCTCACTGACACTGTGACATCGTACATCAGTTTTTGTGAGGACATGTGTGTGCCGAATAAAACCTTCTGCACATTCAACAACAATAAACCATGGTTGACTGCAAGACTCAGGCAGCTTCGTCGGGCCAAGGAGGAGGCCTACAGAAGTAGGGACAGGATCCTGGACAACCAGGCCAGAAACACACTGACGAGGGAGATCAGGGTAGCTCAGAGGAGCTACACTGAAAAGCTGGAGGAAAAGTTCTCAGCCAACGACCCCTCGTCAGTTTGGAGAGGCCTGCAAGTACTCACGAACTACAGGAGACCATCCCCCCCCACTGAGGCCAATCACCAACTGGCTGACGACCTGAATGCCTTCTACTGCAGGTTTGATAAGCCTACCCTTACACCCCCCACCTGCCCCATCAAACAACCATCTACACCCCCTGCCTCCTCCTCATCTCTCCCAACCGACCCCCCACCGGCACTGAGGATCTGCGAAGAGGATGTGAGTCGGCTCTTTCACAGACAGAAGATCAGGAAGGCAGGCCCAGACGGTGTGTCACCCTCCTGCCTGAAAGTCTGTGCTGACCAGCTGGCCCCCATCTTCACACAGATCTTCAACCGATCACTGGAGCTATGTGAAGTCCCCTCATGCTTCAAACGCTCCACGATCATCCCGGTCCCCAAGAAATCCTCCATCACAGGATTAAATGACTACAGGCCCATCGCCCTGACGTCTGTGGTCATGAAATCCTTTGAAAGACTAGTGTTGACCCATCTGAAGAACATCACAGGACCCCTGCTGGACCCCCTGCAGTTTGCCTACCGTGCAAACAGGTCGGTGGATGATGCAGTCAACATGGGACTGCATTACATGCTGCAACACCTCGACTCCCCAGGGTCATATGCAAGGGTTCTGTTTGTGGACTTCAGCTCCGCGTTCAACACCATCATCCCGGAGATACTCCAACCCAAACTCTCCCAGCTCACTGTGCCAGCTTCCACCTGTCAGTGGATCACAAACTTCCTGACTGACAGGACGCAGCAGGTGAGGCTGGGAAAAATCACATCCAGCACCCGGACTATCAACACTGGCGCCGTCCAGGGATGTGTGCTCTCCCCACTGCTCTTCTCCCTCTACACCAACGACTGCACCTCAGAGGACCCAACGGTCAAGCTCCTGAAGTTCGCAGATGACACAAACGATCATCGGCCTCATCAGGGACGGTGATGAGTCTGCGTACAGACGGGAGGTTGAACAGCTGGTCCTCTGGTGTGGTCTGAACAACCTGGAGCTAAACAAGCTCAAAACTGTGGAGATGACAGTGGACTTCAGGAGGAGCCCCCTAACACTGCCCCCCCTCACCATACACAACAACACTGTATCCGCTGTGGAGACCTTCAGGTTTCTGGGATCCACAATCTCCCGGGACCTGAAGTGGGCTCCCAACATCGACACCATCCGGAAAAAGGCACAGCAGAGGTTGTACTTCCTGCGCCAGCTCAAGAAGTTCAACCTACCTCAGGAGCTGCTGATCCTGTTCTACTCAGCCATCATCCAGTCTGTTCTCTGCTCCTCTATCACTGTGTGGTTTGGATCGGCCACCAAACAGGACAGAAACATACTACAACGGATTGTCAGGTCTGCAGAGAGGATCATTGGTTCCAGCCTGCCCTCCATCCTGGACTTGTTCACCTCCAGAGTCAGGAAACGGGCAGGAAAGATCACTGCAGACCCTTCACACCCTGGACACAAGCTGTTCTAACTCCTCCCCTCTGGTAGGCGCTACAGGGCTCTGTACGCCAAAACCACCAGACACAGGAACAGCTTCTTTCCACTGGCCGTCACTCTCATGAACAATAAATAAGTCATATTGCACTACCTCTGTTTGCACTATTGTATTTTATATATATATACAGTACATACACACTTTTGTTTGGGATATATTTATACTTATATTGCATATAGCTGTTAAATGTCTTTGTTTTTCTTATATTTCTCTTGTTTATTGTATATATTTCATATGTGTGTATGTACGATGAAAGTAATGTGTAACCGGAGTCAAATTCCATGTATGCGCATGCATACATGGCCAATAAAGCTGATTCTGATTCTGATTCTGACTCGCCGTCTGGGAATTCTGACAAAATTCAGATGAACTGACTCACTTTTGGGCTGCACGCTTTCTCACAACTCATATTTACAAATGATAGACTATTCTTTCACTCTAAAATTAAAAACTGAACAGTGTATCCATTATATGGTAGTTCACCTAAACACTGGTGCTGGACATAAGAGTTCTCCATCTCACCTAATAAGTGTGCAAACATCTCCCAATTCCCATAAGTCTCTGAACAGCATTTCAGGGAAAATCCTCTAATACACAGAAAGTGTTGTTGTCATTATGTGAACGGTGATGACCCCTGGTACTATCCAGACAAAAGCAACCAACTGAAGAAACTGAAATCAACAGAAAGCCAATGACAGAGGATAAAATGACAGTAATGGCCATAAAGCTACAATATGTACAAATGCTGCTTTGTATAGTAGGAAGCCAATGAGAGAAAGGGCTCCAAGTATGAAGACTTGGTGGAGGAGTGTTGCTGCCAGGGGTGGCAAGTGTTTAGCATCCTGGGAATGACAGAGGGTATGAAAACAAAACCCATCAGGAGTGCCAGTGAGGCAGTGGAAAGATGCTCTCGATGGCTTTGGATTAATCGAAGTGAGCCTCAGAGTGTAAGTGCTACTGGGATACTGGTCAAATCTGGTGGGTTCGCCTGGGTGAGGTTGTCTGACCAGAAAGACCACAACCACCCAATGACCCCAGGTTACATCACTGACGATGTGTCCCAGTGCATCCCAAGATCCATCAACGAGATGATTGAAGAATGAGATACAAAAACTCCAACACCCGCAAATTAAAACAAAAGTTGTTTTTATTTGGCACAACACAAAAGTGCTTTACACTGCCCATGACTAGTCTGGCATGAAAACAACCTCATGGTTCAATTGTTTGTCTCATTCGTTAAACCTCGGAATAAAACTTCTCCTTATAGGTCTATTAAAATGTCACTCAGTTTTTCACCTCACAACTTCAAAACACAAAATTTGCAGATAATACAATTTTTGTGCAAATGTTTTGGATGAAAGTTTTCAGTCTGCTTTGGCTTTAGTGTTTGTTGTATTAGGAGCTGAACACAGTAAGACTCCATGTAGCCTAGCAATTAATTCATTTAAAATACGTTCTAAATGTTTTTACTGTTTTTGCAGTGTAGACAAATGGAACCGTAGGGGTTTTACATGTATTATAGAGGACATCGTACTAATTGCAGAACCCTATAAACCACACAATTATCTTACATAAATATGTTGGTAAGTACAAAAACACAGGTTCATCACTTCAATCAATAACTTATCTCTACAAATTGCATTTTATTGTTGTTATTGCAGACAAACCCCCTCCCCCAAGCTCATAATTTCACATTGTTTGGTCAGATACACAAGTCATTGTCAGAACAGTTGAAAGCACAACAAATACAATTTCCCATTCTTTTTTTTTCTTCTTTTTTTCATAAAAAGACATGAGTGAAAATACAGAATCTTTGGTAGCTAAGCAAAAAAATAGAATAAAAATGTCTATATATAAAATGCATTGAAATAAAAAGTAAGGCTACAGCAAAGGGCTGACAAGGCAGAGAAATCCAGCTTTGACTCAATTAGGAAATGTCTATAAAAAAAAGGACACTTTCATATCTAATATCACAAAAAGATCATAAATTACTTGAGACCTTCAGAATGCATCAGTCTTTGGACGGCATCCTAATGCCTTGATGCAATGCAAAGAGAACCACTGAGGTATTTCATCTTGATTACATCGAGCATCAAGCTGGATGACGGGAGGGACATACAAGTGCATAAGTCATGTCTGCTCCCGGTCTACAGCAAACACTGGACTTTCATTCCAAAATGCTCTTCCATCAAGTGCCCTTATTCGTGCATTCATGTATTCCTCTCACATTTGCTCCTTCCCTTGCAGCTCGTTCGACAGAATACAACGAAGCAGAGGTATCTAGCCACACGATCTTCCATACAGTATATGTGAGGAGAAGAGAGCAAGGACACATGGCAAGCAAGAATCACTAAATCTTTGGATTGGAACGTGGCCACCGTGTCTACTTGGTGGTTTTCATTCAACTTGGTAGGAAGAAATACATCAACAATATTAGTGTTAAAACCATTTTGCAACATACACCCATCATTCATATCTATACTGTATGTAAAAAAAACAAAAGTCATTGTTTCTGTAAAAATAAAACAGTCACAGCAGCAATGATACACCGTCTCTCTTTTGGTCACATGTTCACCTCGTCACCTGATCCGGTGGAGATTATATCTACCTATCAGGGATCAGTTTGAGATTCTTCACTTTGTAAACGTTGAGGAAAATACTGCATATTCGCGTCATATGGGAATAACGACAAGACTTGTAAGTGTCCAGATATTTAAATTGGATCTTGTACCTTTTCACATTCAACATACATGCACCGCAACGAGTGCTGTGTTTGATTTTAAACAGCAAATCAAGAATTGTAACGTCAATCCTGCATGAAATACCTGTGCACTACAGTTGATATGAATTCAAAATTGCCTTAAATGATACAAAAACATCTTTTATTGAAATAGATAAACGCATTTATAATGCATGAAGACTGTAAGGAAGTATCTCTCCCACATGACATGAATGCAACACAAGAAAGAGTAACCAGCATTTTATTGTAGAGCCTTTTTCCTTTGTAAATTGATACTTTAGCTCTCCCTAATGCATTGCCCTCAGAGCTAATACCTTTGAAGTTGTGGCATCTGTAAATACATACGTCAGAAATTCTTGTGCATTGCTTTCAATGCTATAGTGGCTAACCGCACCTATTCATGAGCTCCACACAGATTACAATGACATTAGTACTGATGGCAGTAGCCTATCTCAGCACCTTTTAGAGTTAAGAATGTAATCATTGACAGAGGAGACTGGAGGTTTTAGTTTGATTTGAACTTGAAGATATGTGGCGGTGTACTTTGGCTTGCCTTGGTGGGGGCCAATATGTAGAGCTTTTTCTAGTCTGCATGTACAAACAATTCTTGGAGACACAACGATGCTCTGGAGGTAAAATATTTTATGTCAAGTTAAACCCCAATGGGTGGAGACACAAAATCCACAGTTTCTTTGGCTGAGTTGCAAATGTTAGACTGAAGCCCAGTGAAACTGACATGAGTAAGAGGTAGCTAATGTTACAAAGCCGTTCACTCTTTCTGCCAACTGCAAGATATTTAATCTTGCCATACTGAAAGTTTTACCATCGCTAGATGTTTTTAAAAAAACAAGCTAATTAGCTAGCATGCTGTTCCAAGATCATGAATGTTGTTGTCACAAATGAACAGAGAGAAAAAAGCAGCCGCTGTCATTTATGTTTGCCATTCAAGTTTGAAAAAGAATCCCTGGTTCTTTGCCCATTTTGAACCAATTTTGCCTCCAGAGCTGCTCTGCATCTGAAAAACATTTGCATAACAACACGGTGTGAGTGCAAACAACCATAACAGAGAGTTCTGTAAGTCATACATCCAGCACCATGTCGTAGTGTGTGTCCTTCTTCCTCTTCCCACACTTATTTATGAGCACTGTGTACAAAGTCAACAGTACGACCCAGTAACTGGCATAGACGACTGCCCCTATGACCAGAACAATCTTTTCTGATTCAGGAAAGGGCTTTCTAGTCTGCTGGATCACTGTATAGATAATCCCGATGAAGAGGATAGTGAACCAAACTGATATGGGAATCAGACCAATGAAGTTCACCACCACCGTTTTCCTCCCCGAGGTCCCCCATCCAGACTTGTTGATTGTTGCTATTGCAAACATCTTGGCCGGCAACAGGCTCGACATGTACAGTACGGAGTAGAATGACATGAACACCATGACAATGTTGCCTCTGAGGCAGCTGGCAAACGAGGCCTTGATCAGCGCCACCGCCTGCACAATGAGCAGAAACAATAAAATATTCCAGAGCCTTCCTTGGTAAAAGAGTTGGATGGCAGTGGCGATGAGGAAGAATGGGAAGAAGCCCGTGATCACGGCCTCATAAGTCATCCACAGATGGTGCTTGTGGAACCACAGGGAGTTGTATAGCCACTCTCTGAAATATGACTTACTCCACCGAGTTTGTTGATTGAGCCACCGCAGGTATGTGACCGGCGTCTCGGTGAGGCACTTTGATCGAGCAGTATATTTGGTTGCGTACCCGAGGCTTAGAACTCTGTTAGTGAGATGGCGGTCATCCCCAAAACTGCAGTGGGATCCCATGAAAGTCTGATTGTACCAGTCCTCGATGAACTCGTGCAGGAGGGAGTTCCGGTACATTCCTAAAGGCCCGCTGATGCACTGCACGCAACCAAAGTAGGACTGGCAGGCCCGCTCAATGTTGAAGGCCATCCAGTACCGCACACTGCTCAGGAAGGAGATCCAGGACTCGTATTTGTTTAGGATCTAGGGAGGAATCGATTGGCAAAAAGTTGGAGGTTTAACATAAAACAATGTAAATGTTATGACATGTCACTTTCAAGGAATGAGAAATTGTCGTTTTGTAACCAACCTGTACATCTCCTCCAACGCCTCCCACCATGGGGTCTTCCTCGAGAACCTTCACCATCTCCACCGATGATGCCGGGTCCAACATAGTATCTGAGTCACACACCTGAGTAAAACCCAAAGATGAACAGTGAATTAGTTGCATTTTCAGGCCAAAGGTCATCTGTTTCTGTCATGTAAAGATGGGCACAGCTTGGAGAATTTTTCCTTATCTGAATTTAATAGATAGAGGCTGTAGACGGCAGCCATGTAACTAAAAGTGCTTGTTTTTAGGGTCTTTGAATTCGATGGCCGCCCGTTTTTATTTGAGCCGGAGTAAATGGATGAAGAGCTCCTACAAATTGAAGAGCGGATGAGCAGAGAGAGAGGGGCAACGGGCAGAGGAGGGTGACCCAGCTGCTGCGAGGCCTCAAAGCTCGGGAGACTGGTGGTGTTCCTGTGGCTGCTGTGACCCTATATGTACCACAGAAGAAGAATGCCGTAAAGAGTGGGACCTGTTGCCGCTTGATAATCAGATTTCACAACCATACTTCTCCTTGAGCGGGACCGGTCCGTGAAGTGAAAGGTAAGGCAAAACATTTTTATTTCTCTATAGAGTCCTTTTCATAATGTTGACAGACACAATCTGAGCCTGTCTGTGGCAAAAAATGAGCACTTTTAATGGATTTTAAGTTACATTGAAGCTGCAAAAATGCCCTGGAAGCCCAATTTGCAGCTGTTGGTTACAGCATTACTGGACCAATAATGTTATCCCCCCGAAGTGTCACTTAGACACAGAAGCATACAAAAATACCGAAGTTACCCTTTAAGTCAGAACAGCAATATGGTCAGTGGATAAAACCCTGCAGCAAAGAGTAGCTGCTATCTTTCAGATCCTGCTTTATCTCTCTCCGTTCTCTTCTATAAATGGTAATGGTTCCCTCTCTAACGAAATCAGGTGATGAAAACCAACCTATTAACAAAACCCATCTGTTACAGGCCGAGACTGATTATAGTAAAAAGGCATGCAACGCTGTCCCTCCTTTGTTGAAGAGTACTGCAAAGAGTTCTTTTGAAATATCTGTTAAACAACAGTTTTCTGGCAGGCTGCGTCCAGCTGCAGCTGTTACACAGCATCATATCGAAAAGTTTTGAAGATTGAAGTCCCCTTTTCTGTAACTCAAACTCATTAAAATCATTCTAATGTTATTCAAGTTATGATGAGTCTGTTCAGTTTAGCTCAGTGCTTAAGATGTATTTTTCTAACTCCACCAGCTGAATATTAGTGAACAATATGATGAAGTGACTCTTTGTGTTTTGGACAAACTATGGAAGTTACATAGTTTGCTCTGTTGTTTGTTTTTACATCTACTGGGTACAGGATAAAAACAGGTTTCCTGGTACTTTATCAGGTTTTGTGTTGCCAAGCTTGACTCCCGCTTATATATTTTAAGCCACATCCCCGCACAGTCTTTGCATTATTAGACTGTATGAGCCACTCAAACACTCTTGGGAACTGTCTTTTCCAAAGATATCATTCAAGCGTCAATATCACTAACATACATAGTCTTACTCAAGTTAAACTTTGAGATTGTTCGTCTAAGCAAATAGACGCATACCAAATGAAACCTTTTTCTTTTGACACAGTTTTGGGCCCTGGCTCTGAATATCCCTCATGTAGATGATGTAACACTCAGCTCTGTGAAACAGATCCATTATTACACTTAGACATGAGCTACTGCTGCCCCTCTTCGCGCTACACTTCACGACACGATGCGTGCACACAGCCACCGGCCATCTACAGTGAAAGCAACACAAAAGACTCTTTGTGGACCCCATGTTTGGTTTGGCAGCGCACCCCCACCCTCTCTCCAGCCATCTCTTCCTCCGTTACTCTCTCTCTCTTTTACCTTTCAGCTCACACTGATGTCAGCTGTCCTTGTCTTACATCTACAAAGTAATACACATACTGCTGAATATTTTATCTGTGATATATTGTTTGCACCATTTACAATCCTTTCACCCGCCAATTTTTGTCTCGCCCATATTTTGTGCACCTTTTACATTCAATCTATTAATTTCCCCCTTTCACCATTATTCTTCTCATTAAAAGCTGTCTATGGATATCCATTTCTATTTGAGTGACTTACCTGCACATAGTCTATGCTTCGCCCCAGTGCTTTGAAGGCTGTGTACATGACCTCTCTCTTCCCTCCCCACTTCTGCATGATGCACACACACTTGTTGTTGAGGACCGTCCTGGTGACGTGCTGAAGGCTCTCGGCGTAAGCCTCATCCGTCTCCCCGGGCCCTCTGCTGTGAAAGTTACTCCGCCACACGTACGTGGCCGATTTGTCCCATCCCATGATCTCTTTGAAAATATCCATCATGTACAAGTCATCGTCCGTGTTCCCGTCGATCACCATGATAACCTTGATCCCCGGGTACGTCAGCCTCTTCACCGACACCAGGCATTTCCTCAGGTAGTTCGGGTCCTCTTGGTACGCCGCAATGCACAACGCCAAGGACTTGTTCAGTTTGATCGGCGTCTCTAAGGACCGCCGCATGTTTCGGTGTTCTAAGAGCGCGAAGAGGCTCTGGATAATGAGGTGGACCACCAAGATGGCGCCGTAGAGGCCGAAGGACAGGTGATTGCGAGCCGTGGTGAAGAACTGGTAGCCCATGATGTAGGCCGTGGAGATGCCCACCAGGAGGGACACGCCGAACATGGTGGTGCCAAATATCCGCAGGTAGGTGAGGACTCTCTGACACTTCATCTAGGGACAGAATGCGGAGAAAAGAGTTAGCCCAAAAGTAGCACAATAATGACTGAATTTTAGAGTGTCAATCACAAGCCGAATGCCATGGGATGAACTATTTTTATTCATTTTAAATACAACAAGAAAGTGACTTCCTGCTTTCATCAAATGTCCATTCTGTGATTTGGAGCGGGAAAATTAAACATTCATGTTTAAAGTGACTTATTTATGCAGCACATGGAAAACACTGACTTCCATACCATCAGTAGAATTAAGCTTTGATCAAATACAGCTTTTCTATGGAACACACATAGAGGAGCTGTTTGATTATGTTTGATTATAACAAACCCAGGTAGAGAAAGCAGTAAAGTTTCTCCTCCTTTATCTACTCCCTCCATCCCCCTCTCCTTCCCTCTACCCTTCCCCAAAATCCCTGTCTAAATGTCAGACAGTTGTGACTAGCCGATTGTTCCGACTCTCCGTCGGCGGGGGTTGGGCGCACGTTACAAGATTTTTTGACCTAATTAAGCATCAAGCCGACCGCCACTGCCAAACGGCTGAGTGCTCTCTAAATGCCCGGGAGAAACTATTATGATCATTTATTTTTCTTCTGGTACAAAAAGATTTTCAGGCAAGGAACTCTGATCCAGACCGTGACAGATCATTCTGTGTGCTTTTTGATGTGGGGGCCACGTAAGAACGTTCCGTGCTTTTGTGTATCTAAACTCTGAGCGACGTGAGCCGCGCTGCTCAAAGATCTTCTGCTCAGAATCCTGAAGTTTGTTTCCAGCCCTTATTATGTTGCTACCGCCATCTGTTTGGCAGAGCAGCGGAGACCCACTCAGCGTGGCTCAGCTCGGCTCAAGGCAGAGCGGACCACCCTGTGATGTCATCTGTTTATATCTCCGTGGGAAGAAGGAGACAAGAGCTTTTCAGATTTTGCTAGTGCTGCATGTGGGCTTCTTCCCCTCTGCGACTCCCCATAGAAAGTACAACAAGGGCATCACTTCTCTGACTAGATACAGAGATGTGGATGAACAGTGAAGAGATGGAGCGTATGACATTATATTGCTTTTATACTTATGAAGGACTTGCATTTTTGCTTTGCATATCAAAGGGGGTTTTCCTCTTCAGCCACTGAGTCAGCGGGGCGCCCCCTTCTGACACTTTGAGCTGTATTTTACTTTAAAGAATTTAAACTCTGTTTTTGGTGCCCCAGCTTTAGGGCCTTACAGATATAAAATGTGTATTATCGCATATTTCATTATCACACATGGTGACGTGTAAGTTACACATGTAAGTTTAGTCAAGACAAGCAAAGCATGTAAATGAGCACGAGCAATAAAGTCATCAAAAGTGGTGTTTGGGATTTGGCAAGAGTTCTTCTCACCGCACCTAAACGCAGCAGACAGATGGGAGGGAGGGGAGCCACAGACAGAGAGAGATAGAGAGTGGAAAACAGAAACAATTGTAAAGGCAGACGGGGAGAGGGGCAGAGGAAGACATCTAGAAAGACTGCAAGGGAAAAACAAAGCAAGAGACACTCGGAGAGTAGCAGGGGCGGAGAGAGGAATACGCACACACACACACACACACACCCCTTGGCTCAGACATAATGCCTTGTTCATCTGATCGTTGGATGAGAAGGCCACAGCCAGTGTAGCAGGCCTCCTCTGGCACGTGGCAAGGCTCTTAACGTCAGCCGCTCATTTACAAGACCCATGACACACACACACATACACCCAAATGCACCTATAAAAGCTTATTACACCAGGGAAGAGAGAGAGAGAGAGAGAGAGAGAGAGAGAGAGAGAGAGAGAGAGAGAGAGAGAGAGAGAGAGAGAGAGAGAGAGAGAGAGAGAGAGAGAGGGAGGGGGGGGCTGTAGAAATACACATTTTTAATTGCGTTAAGACTGCGTTTCACCTTCGACCTCCTTTAGTTTGTGCACGTACTGCATGTGTGTATAATGTTTTACAACTATATAAGGTAGCGCAGAACAAAATCTCCCTGCATTAACTTTGAATGAACACAGTCACTACTTAGGAGAACACATGTTTTGACCTAAATGTGCAAAATATACTTATCTAATGGTTTGTGAATGTTTGGATTATATATTATATTGTAAAAGAAAAAAACGTTATTATGGCAGGAAGTCATCACAAATCTTTTGATACACCTCCACACACATTTACACCTAAAGTTGCTGTTACAGTTTCTATTTCACCTAAAATGCACGTCTTGTATGGTTGGAAATTAGAGAACTTAGAGGAAACTGCTGCAGACAGATGAAGAACATGCAATCTTCCCACAGCGTTTGTTGCTTCATGACTGCTTGTTTATTTCGAATCCGGCCTTTACGAACATGAAACGCTCACTCTGGTTATTGGTTTTATTCGAAAGCAGACTGTGACATTCGATTCACGTCATGATCTAGGGATGTAAAGCTTCGGCTCTTTTCTCATTGCAGACCAACAGAAGTTTTTCAAAAAAATTAAATAAATAAAAGACACAGCGCAGAAATGGTCACTTGCTGCTTTTGCTCTTAATAGCATCTCATACTCTCTGCAGGCATGTGATCCAATGCAGAGGTCAGGACCAACAATTAGCTCAGACTGCAAGAAGATTAACTGCAGACTAAAAAAACAGTCACGATGGTTGTCCAAACTTGGCCCCTGCCCCTAAGACATAAAGGCTCTAATCCGAGGGGTATCTGTGACGGTATCATTGACACATGTGGATGTTGTCACTTAGGAGTAGCGCGTACGTGCACCTACGCATGTCTGCATATGACGTTTGTGTGTGCGAGTTGAAGGTGTCAACAGCACATGTGGATGATATCAGCCTATAGCTTTTTGTTTGTTTTTGTATCTTGGCACACGTAAGTGATAGGACCCCATCACTTTCTCTGTGTGTGTGTGTCCAGCCCTACGGTGACCCTGGTTTAGCAGAGTCACTCTAACGTCATTAACAGTCTCTTGAGTATGATTCCCACTGGCTCTGTCTCCGAGATAACTTTACTAAAATGTGAAGTCTCACATGGATGGAGAGTAGATGGGTTAGCAGAGAGATGAACTGATGAATGAATGAATGAATGAATGAATGAGTTGTTTCACTTTATCTTCTGGTGAAAACTCTATTTGGCTCTGTTTTCCTACTGAGATTTAACAGTGAAAACAATACAGAGATGTCCTTATTTTAGTGGCAGCAGCCTTGATGTTCAAACAATTTTCACTGCTTTGAATACCTGGACTAATTGTGAAAATCTGTAAGTGCCTGTAGACACTATTGAGCAAGGCACTGAACCCTCCAACTGTAACACGAACTAGATATTTATAATTGTACTTCTCGCTGTTGCTGTATCACTGTAGAGACAAAGAAATTAAAAATTGTAATCAGTTTTAATCATTTGAGCTGTGAACCGTATTTGATGCATTGCGAGTGAGAACGGGTTGGCACAGTGTATTGTTTAACTCAATTATGGCACATTACATCTGCACAAAGTGTTTTCACTGCAATATTTACTCTACATACACATAGCTGAAACATTTGTGCATTTCTATTTAACATCTGCCCAATAAGTGAGGAATAACTGGCAATGGGTTGTGTGGTTTCTGACACAGAAGACGGAGGGTCTGGATAAATGAAAACTTTGACCAACAAGTGTTGTTAGAGGTAAAGTCAGGGGGATTCATCATCTGTGGACCATGAATGTCCGTACACAATTTCATGGCAATCCTTCCAGTAGTTGTTGAGATATTTCTGTCTGGACCAAAGTTGTGGAGATATCGGCCAATAGAATTACATTACCATCCATGGAGCCACGCTGCTAGCTTGGCTAACAATGCAGAAACCCCTTCTCAATGCCATGCAATTATCTGAAATGAATCCCCTTTAGCCTGTTAGAATACAACATTCTTCATGTATATAAGGTATCCATCTATCTTAATCTTTAAAATGTTCATGTGTAATTGTGTGTCACTGACATTGAGTTGAGTATCAGATTAAGCATTAGTGTTGCTTGTGTGTACACGGGGAACTCTGTGACCCATTTAAGTTTTTCTTTAGTATAATTAAGTGATTTATTGTGGACATTAAAATCACCATATGCTGTAGTAACCCTTATTTATGTTGTATGAGTGGATAGATGTCAGATATATATATGTGGCTTGTCTGGGTAAATGTGAATGCCATTAACTCTCGCCATAGGTGCTGAATGCAGGCCATGTGTGCGTGTGTGTGTGTGTGTGCACAAATATGTGAGCTAAGCATAAAATGTGTGTGTGTGTTTAAGCAGAGTGGGGGTTTCTGGCAAAAAAAACTTCATCACTTACAGGGTGAATGGAGAAGGTAAAAGTCTGATAGACAACTTTATTGTTAAACAATAAAGTTGTTCAAGATACTACAAAGTGCTGCTGGAGTTTTGACCTTCATCGCGAGCGTAGCCAGTGCGTGTACATGTGCGTGTGTGTGTGTGTGTGTGTGCGTGCGTGCTGCGAAGAGGAAGAGATGGTTTGATTAAACTCAGAGGAGAGCAGTGGAATCCCTGTCAGCAGGGTCCCGCTTCCATGGCCTGTGATGGAACATAGAATATAACAAGGCACGCCATACTCTATGTGTGTGTATGTGTGTATGTGCGTGTCTTTATACAGTAACTACTATATATGTATGTGAATCTGTGGGCAGGTCATTACTGTATTCTCTGCACAGGCAGTATAAATCTGAAGCAGTGCCAAAAAAGACAGCCTGCTGGTCTGTAAGGGGCTGAGATATCATAAAGCTTACATCTTTATATTATTGTGACTCAGCAGTCGCTGATTAGAAGCGTAACATTCATAAATCAGCTGCTCTGGCCAGATGAGTGCTGTTCATATAAAACTTTAATGTTGCTCTGAAGCGTGAGCCAGCTCACACCATGTGGCTACATGAATAAGACTGAGAAATGGCTTTAATATAACAAACAATGTTGTGATGTAATTATCCCTATGAAGCTACAATAAACAGGCTGTAATAATACATTATATTAATGACATTCATAAAAGTTTCCTAGTGTTGATCCATTCAAGAAATATTGGGTAAAGTCTATGCTATCACCAAGAAAGCATTTGAAAACCAGACCTGCTGAAGTCATACACACCTTTGAAACTTCAAACGCATGATGCGCTGCCAACAAAAAATGTATGTGTGTGTGTGTGTGTGTGTGTGTGTGTGTGTGTGTGTGTGTGTGAGAGCTGGGCAGGGCTGGAAAAGGCCAGGATGCTTATTTTAAAAGCATTAAATGTTGAGATGGCCCTTGTGACAGTTGTAACAGGATGCAGGAAAAGGCTCACATGTTCCAAGCAGATGATGAGGCTGAGGAGAGGGATCGGCTGGGAAAAACTGGCTGCTGAGACACACTCAACACACTCAAGGCCGACTCTAAACTATATCACTAGATATGATATACTAGAAATGAGTTATTTTCATGTATGGTTTATGGGAAATAATCAAATATTAGTGAAATGAGTTGCAAATAATAATATGAAGGCTGTATTAGATGGCAAAAATGTAATATATATACGCAGTAAAATGAATAAATGGATATATAATCAACAACTGTCGTGTAGCTGTATGTATCTTATTTTGCTACTGCCCGTATTGTTTCAGACTCCACTCCTCCCCTTTCTCCTCCTCTTCCTTCTGCCTCTCATAAACCCGCCCATGTGGTCACAGTGTGCCGTTGTTGTGGGAGCGTTGTCATTATAACCACAACTAAACAGAAACACCCCCCTCAGCACTACACTGCAGTGCTCCTTGCATGATTGGAATCAGGTGGAGAGGGCCGCAACTGGCAAAGGTACAATGTTACAACATAACTTGGGAGTTGACTTCTACTCTATCTGTCTCTTTGTTTTCTCACATTCTGTACGTTTCTAGAATGGAGTGGACAAAGGTTACAACATCCGAGTGGACTGTTTTATGTTACTCTCCATCTCATTGTTTTACCTCAACAGTTGGGGTTGCATCATTGTCGTTTAATTTGACTTAAAAGTGAAGGTGAAATTCATTATTTCATGGAAACGCTGTGGTTAATCCGTTCCCAATTTCAAAGCGAAACTATGCTGTTTGGTATTTTGGCTTGTTCTTCTCCCTTTAACTCATCTACTGCAGTATTCAGTAAGAACAAAAAGAGTAAGTGGGTTGGAAGGAAGTGAGTTAGGGATAGAGGGAGGGAGGGATTGCAGACACCAGAAGAAGGGATGGGGGAGGAGACTGCAGGCACGGCGGGGGGGACTTGGATCAGGTCACTGCCAGCTGAGGCACTGGAATAATGCCACTGTGGCAAGCCCCAAGATTTCCAGCCGAATTACAGATGCGACTCAGTTGAGAATGCCTCACTCTACAGCCACTCCTCTGTCGGGTTATTTCTTTGGTTCTCTTTCCTATATAGTGCATTATTACAGCTAAAGTGTTTTGTTAGCCCTTCACTGTATGAAATCACGCTGAAATGTCTGCCATAAAATGTGTCAAATTGTTTATGCATCCAGCCTGTCTCATGTCATCCATTGATCCAACATTTTCTGTTGGATCATTGTTTCTGATTATCTGTCTACAGACCCTTATCAACTGTGCTCTAAAATAACTGGCTTGCTCCCTACATGGTAGATAGCTCTATTCTAGCACTCCCTATTATCATAGTTAATTACAGCTTAGAGATAACATAAGAGGCATACGCCCATAGCTAGGGTGGAAGAAAGCAAGGATGTGACTGTGATCTAGGTTGAAGATGTCTGACCTTCTGTCATCTGGGTTTTTAACAAGAGCTCGCAAGATATTCTATCAGTAAAATCATCAAAAACATAAAAAATGGAAATGTCCAGGAGCCAACTGTGTCTGCCCTCCAACTACTCAAGCACAGCTCACTTTCAACAGCTCCTGGGTTACTTTACTGCAACTCCTGGACCTATACATTAACATTGGCATCAGCCCCCCCCCCCCGTGAGACCCTGTGACTCAGTATGAGGTAGTGGGAATCAAACTCAGCAACCTCGCTCACAACCAAATTTTCCCCTTTACTGGTTGACTGGGGCGCTGCTTCACTGCTACTTCACCAAGGGAGCCTGGAACACACTGTGGCATTAATGCAGAATAAATGAGGTAGGTGGTTGTGTTGGTATTGTGTGTGTTTGGAAGAGGATGCACACTCTATCCTAAATTCAGTAGTTGTACCTCGGCAGCCCCAAGGCCCTACATGCTGAAGGACCCATGCTGTGAGCAGTAATGGCACATGGGACTTGTTGTGAGCCCTAATGGAGACCAGCCATGGAATGGCTTCCTCTGTCAAGTAGTAAACTGCTCGGTGCACTGTGTGGAAGAACATCCTGTTGCAATGATGAGTCTACAGTGAACTGAAGAGTGCAAAAAAAAGAGTTACTTGTCTTCCTCTTTTGGCATCCCCAGCTATAGCAGGCAGCCTTCATGGACTACCCACATTGCTGCATGTGAGAATTAAATCTCCGTTTAAGTGCTCAATGTTCCACTAACAGGCACCAGAGACGGACTGTCTTCTTCGCTGTAGCACACTGAGCCAAATGCTCGGCAGAAGTTCTCCCCGGAGGGCTGAGACGGTATGTTGGTATTAGACATTTGTGCATTGACGGAGGGTCCACAGATGCACTGATTATACAAAGAACTTGTGCCCTGAAGCTATCATTTTCAAATCTGCACATGCATTTTGAACTAATACTGATTAGTGCGGCAGCTACTGAAAGTGTCTCCTGAGGTACAGTGATGCTGGGCACATTTCTAAACAATGCACCGCAGAACAGCAGCTAACGTGAGAAAGATGTGGTGGATAAATATCTTGTTTCAGATACTGTTGGAAAAGCCAGAAATTTGAAGTTCCTACGCAATGGGGGGGAGGGGTTGGGGGGGGCACGTGGACTTCTTACATTGATATATTAATACTGACAGTGGACTAAATGCTTCATCACCCCTTACACGTAGATATCACCATCGTTCCAGCATGCACAGCGTGAGAACAAGAATGCGTAATCAAAAGATGACTCAGGCCAATAGGAAGAAACTCTGTACTGTACATCCTGGATCAATGTCAGGAATGCTTAGACACCCAGCTCACAGATGGGCATTCCTCGAGTGTAGGCGGATGGAGGAAGAGAGTATGTCGGAGGGTCCTTGCAACCAGCAACCAGTGTTTAGGTGGCACCTGCTTTCAGTCACGTACGCATGCATATATGATCTCTAACATGTCAGTCTGAAGCTCAGAAGGGTTGCATGAACATTTCAGCGAGGTAAATGTCGGTCACCACTACAACGCTGCTCAGAGAACATGATTTTTTTCAGCAGTTACCAAATTATTGTCCACAACCTGAGGGCCATTCTTGATTCACATGTGTGCAATTCACAATTGTCATCAAATTACGTGCTCAAACCAAGAGGCACGCTGAACGTGTCCAAATTCAGCCTTCCCATTGGCTGGCAGACCTCAAGGAACGACGAACAGGTTGCAACGTCATCAATTCGTTTCATTCTTAGGTTGAAGCTGGCTGGCTCAGCAAAAAACCATGAAGTTCTGAATGATTAGAAGACTAATCCGGGCGGATATGTTTCGCACATTTACACAGCTGGCACCGCTGAGCAAAGAGGAAGGCATATGTTCGTGCCATTTAGGACAAATTAAACTTTTGAGACACATTTTTTTCTTGGTGTCAATGTAATACTATTTTAATACAGTAGCTAACATCTGTGAAGGAAAAAAAAGTCGTTCAACTTCAAACCTGGATGGCATCCGCGTTTTACGCACGACCGTTACGGGGAAAAATACTAGTAACAGCTTGCACGCCCCCCAATTTAAAGCATTGCTCTCTTTATTGAGATTACAAATTTAACAACATTCTTATAATTTAAAAGTATGAATGAAATCTCATTCATACAACAACATCAACATGTCCAAAATAATAACTTGAATGCAGTTGATTATTACAGGCTTCTGGACATGTATACTGTGTGTCAGTAAGCTGCGGGCTCACCAGACCAAATGATCACTGGCCGCCTACCTTGAAGCAGCTGTCGTCCTCTCGTTCGTCCTTGAAGAAGGATGCGGTCAGCTCCGGTAGCTCTGGTGCCGCTCCACAGGGAAAAAAAGTCTCGACAAAGTTTCAGAGGACACTTGTGTAGGAATGAGTCTCATGAATCCGCAGACATTGATCCTCATTAATGATAAGAAGAAAAAGAGTAAAAATGCGGGAAATGTTCACGCACGTTCCTCTAAGTTTGCTAAACGGGATTCTCGAAAAAAAAAAAATCCAAGACTGCTCGTCCTTACGAGTTTCTAACAGTCTGTCTGCAGTCATCAACTACACACCGCATGCGTCTTGGGTATACAAACATTATGTCAGTCAACTTTGGCATCATTCATATAAAAAAGTATAAATAACGAGTAAACTACGCAAAAATGATAAATATTTTTCTCCATCAACTTCTGACGGTTTCATTTATATTTCAAAAGTTTGTACAAGTTAAAAAAACGCCACCAACTCATACTCTGAATAACAAAAAAAAAGGTTTCCAGCAATGACTATTTTTCAAGATAATTGGTATATTTGCTGTCTTCGGGGGCGTGTAGGTAAGTACTTCTATAGTTTCCTCAAGCATCCAGGCTACACAGAGCGCAGAGAAGTGGCCAGAAGTCTCTCTGCCGCTGCTGCCTAATTCCTTCCAGGCGGCTGGGTGTGGAGCCTCCTTTACGGCTGCTTCGGCTCCCAGAACCTGGCTACAACCGATTCCCGTGTTGTTTTAATAAGAGGGGATGGTTTGCGGGGGTGTGTAAGGAGGAGCGACGGAGAGGAGAAGAGAGAGCGAGCGAGAGAGAGAGAGAGCGAGAGAGAGAGAGAGAGAGAGAGAGAGAGAGAGAGAGAGAGAGTCACTATTGGCTGTCCAAACCCCCATTCAAACCTGAGACCAGAAAGTTAAAGAACGTTTTTTCTTCAATTACCCCTATACAATAGTGTGAAAACTAAGTGCACCACTACAAGTATACTACACAGTTTAGTAGTAATAAATTGAGCCAGTGTTAATCGCCTGACATTGACAAAGACATGATGAGAAATATTCAACTAGTGGCTTCACACTGAGAGAACAGCTGGAAGCGGAATAAGAAACCAAACTGCCATCTGTATATGAAGCGCACATACCGTATATGCACGTGTAAAGCTGGAGCTCAGATGTTCTGGAATTTCAGTCATTTCATTGATTCACCAGCGTGCAGTTCACGTCTTTGACCAGCAGGCAGTGCTGTGCAATACAGAACCCAGAGTCCGGGCTCTGAAGAGTATAGTGGCTCCTCTGAAAAAGGCGATCTGAAGGGAACATCCAACCAAAATCAGGACTCATGTCACTACCACCAGGAGACAAAAAAAAAATCATCATCAGGGACTCCTCTGATGTATATGAAAAACTGAAGTTAGGATTTCTAGTAGTACGATGCATCTACAGTAAGAAACCCACATTCACAAGCTCTGGAAAGCTCCTCCAGCCTTCAGGGAAACAGTATCAAAGGATTCCACATGGATACGTTTGTCACTTTGTGAATCTAATGATGATGATTTCCGAATCATATTTATTTTATCTGAATTGAGGTTCTTGTACGGATTGTAAAGTCTGCTTAGACAAATTGGTGATTTTGTGCAGTGTTAATAAAACTGGCTGATCTTGACGATATCATCATGAACCCAATGGTTTTTGCTCCTAATGAGCTCATATTTTGGGCCAACTCAAAGATCGTTGCTGTAAAACATCACGTTTCGGTATGTGAGCATAAACGAGCCCAAGTGATGAATGGATAGAAAATGGGGCCTGTGGTAGCGAACCCCCCGCAGACCTGCATTGTTTATGTATGGTGCTGTGAAAACACACAGTTTCCAAGCTCCAGTGACTGACTCCTGACTGTACCCGTCAGTGAGCGACATTATTGTCACAGGGGCCATACATTGTTTGGAGCCGAATGGGTCCTCCACTCTTTGCTTTTTTTAGTTTTTCTTTTGTACAAGCTCATTTACTCAAGTATTTATTGAAACAAGGAAATACACCGTAATGTGCAGAGACCTAAAGAAGAGAGTGTGAAGAACTAACACAGTGTAGAACAGAGATGCCACTGGCATAACAGGACACTTTCAAAGTAAGGGCCTCAATGAGTGCTCAAAGGTACTTTTCTGAACATTTTTTAATTAAATAATTTTTCCATATGTATGTTGTTGTGCTGTTATTTAAATCGCATTTGTGGCAAAATGTTTTATTGGGCCTTGAAGTAGCAGAAGTAAGTTTATTTCTACTTACGGAGGATGATGATAGGTTACCTTTTAGCGAAAGCTAGGTGCCTCTTCCTGAGCTGAATAATTATCCTTTTCTTTATCAACAGGACATTTCAATTGAGAAAAAAATGCAAGGGCTGATGGGAGCAAAGGGCAGCATGCTGTCAATGCCGATGTTTAACAATAGCCATCACACACTGGGTGCTAAGAATGAAAAGTTTTGTTTGACAATACAATTTCCATCAAAATCAACAGACTGCACCACACACCCATTGTGGAGCATCTATATGGAAATTGACACATTCTATGTGTTCTATGTCTACCACTGTGAGACTCTACAGGCAGGAAACAGCAGCGGAGCATTGGGGAATATATTGAGCAATTATTCTGGGAGGTATAGTTAGCCGTGGGCCTATATGTTCACAAAACATGTCACACTGTCAATCTGAGGCCTTAGCATGGCAGCCTGAGGCTGAACACAAATCCCCCACGATGACCCAACCACCCTTCAGCCCGAAGCTCAAACATTAGAGGCAACCTCATGAGCAGAATATAATGCGGTTTATTTAAGCCCTGAATCGATACATTGTTGCCGTTTCAAGCTCTTAGTTTTCTTCAAAACCATCAACAGATATCATCAACATAAACATCAACACACAGTGCTCTTGTATATTGTCCAATGATGTCTTTTTTAATGTAAAGTTTGTTTTAGGTTTTCAAGCGTGCTCATTACATAATGTTGAATGTGCATACACTTTACTTTATGGTCCTCTTTCATGTTCACTTAAACAGGAAATTAAGCAACTAGTCACCCATATGATCAGCGTTACAACCAGAACGTTTTAAGTGAACTTTTTATGCAACCCGGTCCACAAAAGGTTAATAATACGGAAGTGCCCGAGCCAATCAGAATGCACGTGCGCAGCGACGTAGGCAGGACGGAGACAGCATACGCGAGTCAGACGCTGGGTGACAGTGTGGAGCGAAGACCTGCTGCTGTAAACAAACACAATGTAACATTGTGAAGGTAACGCGTGCACTTTATATAAGCGCGTAGATGTGTGCTAGAGAGGCCATGCCCACCGAATACTGTGAGTAGAAATACATAAATAAATGCATATATTAGTAGCCAATGCTAAGAAAGTAAGCTAACAAAATCCTCATTAAGTGATGGGCAGTGTGCAGTAAAGTTAGCTGACTGCAGTCGCTGTTAATTATATGAGGTGTTTTTTTCCTGTGGCTGGTTTAATTGAAGTGTTTAATGCTGAAGCAACACCTTAAGTTTTGTAGAAATTTTAATTTATTGGTATAATGAATCTGACCTACAATCTGAGAAGTTTACCTCAGCTGTATAGGGTGTGTATTGTTTGCACTGAATAGTTTGGGGCATAATGTAATTGTACTATTCTTGATAGTTGTTATAAATATATATGCATGGTCAAGTTAAAGGATTAATTATTGAGATTTGTTTGAATCAGAAATTAATTTGTTTGAATTCAAAAAGGTTATTTTGATATAGTGGTATACAGTATTTGCATATATATTTCTTGAAGTTAGAAGAATGAACTATTTCTGGTCGTTGAGAAAGACGATCAACTAACGATCACTTCGTGCTACGTCAACAACTGCAGGTCAGGTTTTTTGAGTTGATTGAAGAAGATGATGATGATGATGATGGTGGTGGTGAGCCAACCCACACGAGACCTCTACATCTCTGGATTCCTGAATTGAAGATCCTAGAGCCAAGACCTGCCAAACCTTCCCTCGTCCTGCTATGACGGTAGGATAAAACCCCACTAAGCCCCACACACACACATTCATGCTGACCTCTCAGCCCCACTTGCACACACCACAGTCCCTAGACTGTGACTTACAGTCCCACTTTACTTGTTTTGGGAGAGACTTCAAACTAATTCTCTGCGCTAACTCATTAACCATCACTGGTTAAGTGGATGAACTGAGGATTCGAGTATGGTGTGTGTTATTGTGTTTTGTTTGAACATTGTTTTTTACCCGGCCTTGGATCCACATTTGAGTGTTGAGATTCCAGATAACAGATCATAACGTGCATCCAGTCGGACAGAAAAGTAATGCAAAGAACTTGGATGCTAAGATACAGTCGTTGCTAACTGCACAGTCTTCGTTGGAAAAAAGAGCTTATTGTTAAACTTGTAATTGTTGCGAGGTCCTGCGAGTATTTGTTCTCAAAATCTTCCATTGAATAGTAAGTGGATCCATATTTGAAGACAACAGACTGTCTTGGTGTTACTGCAATGTTTTTCCAAAAACAAATATGACGTCATCTTTTCTTAAATCTCTTTGGGGAATCCATTCAATGCCACACAAGTGTTATAACCAAGTTTAAATGATTAGATTAAGAGTTTTTAACTCAAGACTTTTTGAGCGAAGAGATGATGTATTTCCAAGGGATGAAGCTGACTGAATGTTACTCATTAATGTTACTGAAGGTGAGGTCTAAATAAAACAATAGTGTTGGCACGAGCAAAGAGTCTGAACTTGAGTTGTGGATGAAAAGCATTTCCTGATATGGTCCGTGGAGAACAAGGTTCAAAAGCAAAATATAAGACGACTACATTATTTTTGAACCAGGTCGTTCACCCCTAACGGTGCTAATAAGAGAAACTGTATTGACAAGTCACAGCTTCCACGCCCAGTTCGTTCACCTTCAGCTGTCTTTACCAATGTCGGCAGCGTTGCACTATTTCAAGTGTGGGGATGAAAGCCTGCAGGTGTGTCATGGTGCTGAAAACACTGAAGCTGGCTGTCTTCTCTTGCTTGTCTTACCTCAGACATTGTGTATGCGTGTGTGAGTGCTGTTTTACTCATCTTACAGTGACCTCTTTGAAGTGAAAACCGTATGTATCATCTCATCTCTCGTCGCCCTTTTGGTCGACGCAGTGTTTGAATCAACCTTTTTTTGCTGACGTACCCCCACAGCCTCTGTCGAATTAAACCGAAGTTCCCTCCATTGACACCACCTGTCATGTTCTAAATATGTTCCTTTGAATAGATTTTGACCCGGATTATTTAACATTTGTATCTATGTGCACGATTAGTTGGCTAGTCTATTAAACGTCGCTACCCTTGCTAGTCGGCTCCAGAAAAAGCTCGTCGGTTGCAGTGTAAATAGAGCCATTTCTGCCTCATGTTTATTCACTAGATTTGCTTTGTTTGTTGCTTTTGTACATGGTCGCAGTGTACTCGTTGTATGAGCACAACCAGTTACTTCACCAGACGTATTGTAGGACGCATATATCCGCTTGTGTGGTCAAATATAGCTTTCGAGTGTAAAAAAGTGCACTGGATACGCATGGGT